CTGCATGTTGGAATGAAAATGGAGGTACTGAGTTATATTATCACTTAGGAAAGTGTTTAACAATTTGTCTAACTGACACACAAAGTTTGTGCAGGCAGTCTACTTGAATACAATGACTACTTAGTCAGCTGTATAATAGAAATATATATAAAGCAGAGTGTTCTGTAATTTAGCCTTTGCATTTAAAACAAATTCCCATTTCTTATAAAACATCAGATTGTCTTCTAGAATTGATTGTAAAGACAACCATGAGAAATTTTTCAAGTAGTCGTCTTTTTCAATAAAAAAAATATGTAAAATATAGGACATGTCATGTTAAGTCATGTTTTATGAAAAAAAACCAACAAAAAATTCATTCTAGTTGTGTAGATTGCAGATTGAGACTGTGTCCAGGCAAACATTAAAAAACAAATTAATTACACACTGTAAAATATTGTGGTAAATTCTGTTATTACCATTTTACAGTATTCTGTATGTAATCGACATCTAATTTCATGTAAATGCCATAAAATGTACAATTTATTTATTGTGTTTCTTTGCATGAATTTAAAGTTTCTTAAAACATGCCTAACACTTAATATGTTTTGGAAAATCTAGAAAAAAACTCAAAAAATTTGTCTTACATTTTGTTTTGTCCTGCTCATAAACTACAGAAACATGTTAAGGAAATAGTATGTGTGTAGTTTGGTTTACCATATCTGTTCCAGCTAACAGCAAAAGAGGAACAGTTAATTAACGATGGTCATTCATATATATATATAAAGCAAATAGAGGAACTATTCCGACCAATAATAATATTTGTTATTTGTGATAAAGACTATAAATATCTCTCTGTAAAATAATAAAATCAGTTCGATCATTAAGTTCACTGTGTTTGTTACTGAAGGTATAGAGTATATTACAAAAGAGATATGGCGACAACTCGAACTCAACAGATTATGGGCCAGGAGAGGTTTGCTTTTCGATGGGAAGCGAAGCAAATACGAGTTATGGGAGTAAAATTGGGGTATAATACTAGATTATTTCAAAACTGTGACATGCATTTATTAGAATCGACGAAAGTGGAGAGAAAAACCAACAGCTTAAAATAGCAAACAACACAGGAGTTGGTCAATCTTGGACGACAGTTCTTTGTCTTTTGTGATTCGGGAGGCAAAAGACAATAGACGGAGAGCCTTAGAAATCCTCAAACATCACTATCAAGGCAGATGAGCCTCGCATCATCACTCTTTACACGGAAGTCACTTCGCTGAAGAAAAGTGACGACAAGACTATCTGAATTATATATAGCAAGCGGAAACGATTGGCAACAGCCTTGTAGAAGCCGAGGAGAGATAATAAGTGATGCACTACCATTGTAATGGTTTTAAAGTGTCTGCCAACCATGACACGAAAGATTGCCGAAATACGAAAGAAACGTCCAAGTCAGCTAAAGACGAGCAGCGCTGTGACAGTGAACGGAAACACTTCTTTTTATTCGTGTGAAAGGATGAAGAAGAGAACGCTGAAACAGACGTGAAGGATAAGGATCAAGCGAATTTAACTCTACTGGTGGACAAAGGAGCTACAAGCCCCATTATTAACGATAAGTCAAAATTCATGGATTTTAATAGTAAATTTGATAGTAAAGCGCATTTTATTGAACTAGCAGATGGCAGTAAAGCCAACATAGTAGTCGGTAAAGGTACTGCTAAAGTCAAATTAGTTGACTTGCATGGAAATGCGCAGGATGTCTTTTTAAGTAATGCCTTATATGTCCCATCTTCCGATCAAAGTATATTCTCAGTAAATGCTGCCGTAAAAAAGGCGGCAAAAGTCAAATTGGATAAACACGATAAGCATGTACAGTGCCCTGATGGCACAACGTTTGGAATAAGACAAAAAGGCAAACTTTACTAGATAAATAGCATATTATCTTCGAATAAAAACGCATGTTCTCTTTACGAGTGGCCCAAGGTTCTAGGTCACTGCAACTACAAGGATTTTAAGAAACTAGAGAAGGTGGTTAAGGGGATGAAAATCACAGACTGAGGGATGTTGAGTGTGAGGTTTGTACACAAGGTAAACTGTGTCAGACGAAAAGTAAGCTGGAAGATAAAAAGGCGAGAGGTCCTCTTGAGTTTATCCACACAAATCTTGCAGGTCCTATTGATCTGGAAGGAAGAGAAGGGTTTAGATATGCATTGTCGTTTGTGGATGATTATTCAGGATTGAATATGGTCTA